CACAGTAGCTGTACAGTCTGAGCTAATCCACACCAATCCTGTGCTGCCTGCTTCCCTTAAGACACTGTACAACTACATGGACTCATACTCACACTGTTTGTTCACCATCCAATCACCCCTTAACTTTGAGAACCAGTTTGAAATCTGCCTTCCTAATTTACATCCTTGCCTGGAAGCAGGGGCTGTAGCCATGGGCTGTAGCAAACTCTTTCACTCCTCCATTTGGAGATCTGTGCCAATTCCAGTTGTCTCCTAAATGCAGTGTCAACACTGGAAGGGTTCAAACAGAAAAAAGATATACAGAATGGGATACAGAAGCCACCTTTTGGATTCCAGCCACAGTCCATTTGCACATTAATATGCTGGGTGCTTAGTGGCCAGCTCAAAATCCCAATTAACAAAATAGCCACACACTCCCTCCTCCTTCCTCTGACGGTCCTGGGGCTCTCTACTCCAACAGGAATGCTCTGTAAGGGTTTGCACCGATCAAGGATTCCCTAGAAATGGCACTCTGGTTGATGAAGGCATTGGTACAGTCCCAGGTGGGGACAACAGAGTTGTTCCAGTCACTGTTTGAGAGTTGTTATGGATTGTCCTGATGACAAAATGGGGCTGCAGAGACCAAACTGGCTCTTCTCAGCTAGACAAATGTGCCTGGCCAACCTTTGCCAAGCTCATTACAGCTCGACCAGCAGGGAACGAACTGAGCCAGCACAGCTTGTTTTAACTGTACAGCTGCGAGCACGGACTCCCAGCCAAGACACAAACCTCATGGAATGAAATTTTACACAGGTAAAGATGAACTTGTGGCTTTTGTTATCACAGCAGCAGACACAGTGACACAAACCATCAGCTTCCCAGCAGATTACCTCCCACCACTGTCCCCAGAGGCACCCCATCTCCCTCAGGGTGCTCAGTGTGGATTTGCCATCCCAGCAGCAGGACCAGAGGAAGCCAACAAGCACCATTAGGGCTGAGCTCTCAGCTCTCACAGGAGGGTACCAATGCTGACTTGTATCTGAACCTCTGCATCAGCAAGCACAATGTGAATTAACATGCTTTAGCAAACAATACTCTTTTTCAAATTATTTGCAGCAATCAAATTTCCCTGTGTACCTCAGTGGGAGAACATTTCCTTGCAGGATTAGCTGCTGCTGCCTGCCACACTCTCCACACTATTAAGGCAACCGCTGTAATCTTGTCAGTCAGGATAAGGCAGAGCCTTAGCAGGGAGCTGAAGTTCTGACAGGGAGACAAGCAAATCTCCCTGATAGCTGGATGGGCCCAGCCTGGTTCCATGGATGGTGTACACAGGATTACTGGAGACTGAGCTGATAATTTTTTTTTGTCTTCACATCAGTTCTGTTCTTCAGCCCTTGCCTACAGGCCACCAAGTCAGGGGAAGAGTAGAGCTTGTATCTGTGCTTCCTGGCCAGGTACAACTGAGGCCAAATAACAAAGACATTCCACATCACCCTATTCAGGATTTCATCTGCTGAGTCTGCCAATCAAGGAATTAATTAGTTCCAACTGTAATAATTTATTTTCATGTATATATTCCCCCACTGGGGCTTAGCTAAAAGCACATACATTAATTTAATTAACTAGCATTATGTGTAAAGGATGATGGAAGGCCTTATGACCAAACATTCAAGAAAAATCCCTGGATCTATATATTTTACCTAAATGAGATTTAAGCAAAGATAACACCTTGAAATGATGCTTAGAAGATAAACAATACTTGGAAAGGAACGTTTAGGTCTAAATTTTATTTACAGGAACTTTCTTACAGAGGCTAAGTTGACTTTTAGACTTCCTGTAATAATGAAAAATCAACATGAAATTACTGGAACTTTGCATTAATAGTAGCAATATCTGAAATAAAAAGCCTGACCTCATGAACTGACTTCCTATTACTTTGATGCTCAAGGCATCAGCAGCAATAAAATTCATGAAGAAGTTTGTAATAAAAACTTTTTCAATCACATCAGCAGGTGAGGTGAACAGAAGCTGTTGCTGTAGAGAAAACTCATGGTGAACATGGTTAATTTTAATTTTGCATACAACCTCGATCTTCCCATCTTAAAACAGACCTATTGCAGCTGGAGGAGACACTGAGGAGGTCAAAGATAACTGAGGAAGATTTTACATTTTTCAAAGCTGCAACTCAGACACAACTGAAAGGATGTACAGTACCTGTAAATAAAATCAGCAATGGTGCAGAGAAAGCACTAGGATGTAATTATTTCTCTAAGTATCCATTTTATAGCTACTAGGAGACAGGAGATGGGGTAAATGGAACGAGTCTGATTCAACATGAGAGAATCCTGATGATCAGATGAGTAATTTCTCTTAATTGCTTTTCCTTCCTTTTCAATCATCACCTTATTTACTACAGAACATGGAATTTCTTTTAGACAATACAATAACTGTACCTTATCAACATATTGTCCATGTGAACGAAGCAGTTCATGGACCTCACATGGTTCCATGCTGGAGCCACATCAGACCCCGATGAATTAATTAAGAAGCCATGACAGAAGCATCTGATGATGATGCATTTGTTTGTAGCTCATTACTCTGGACTTTCAGCCACACTGTGCCAGGAATTAGCTGCAGTTATGGTTTCCCATAGCAACAAGGTATATGGGACTAATTGCTCAGGAAAAACCAGCTGAGTGGGAGCTGTACCTCCCACAGGGAGCTAAGCCAGGTGTTCCCTAGGTATTCAGGAAAGTAAAACAAGGCTGCTCCATGTGCATCTGCAACACAGCTTGAACTTGGTCCACTTGTGTTCACAGCAGCAGCTCTTGTACCACACCCACACTGCTTCAGAGAGGCCTCATCACGCCAAGGAAGGATGGACTAAACCCACTAAACTTCCCCCCAGATTCCCCTGTTCTCATTAATTTAGAAAGAAATGAGCACAGGTAAATCTAGGTCTCTGCAATAGGGTAAGATAGGAGATTAACTTTCACAGGCACTTACAGTTTATAATAAAAGTGTAACAAGTATACATGTCATCATGTCTTAATATTAACCATTGATTCTGAATACCAAGCACTGAACAATATGTAAATGCAGGCTATACACATGGTAATAGGCACTCCAGATTTGTTAGGAATGGGCACAACTCAGCAAACAAGCAATCCCATAAGAACACATTCTCCTAAATGCTTCACCCCAGCCCAAAGCAAACAAACAAATCCAGCCTAGACAGACTTCAACATTAAATGCTCAGTAAGCTATCATTCAGAATTTCTGGTTTCCCACTGTGCCTTCAAAGTAGAAAGCAAATGTTTTCATTTGGGATCTACTGCATGGGTGGGTTCAATTAACTGAAGGGGGGAAAAGCTTCAACTGGCAGGAAAGACAAGGCAACAAAACCAAGATTGCAGTGGCTGGCAAATGAAAAAGCCAGAAATACATATCCAAAATAATCACACACACAACAATATAAGCTGTAATTTCATCAGAGTTTAGTAAGCCTTGTGCACAGGGCTGTGCTTACAAAGTCCCTGTCACTCAGTTCACTGTCCCTCCACAGACCAGCTCTGCATTGACTGTGCCTTCAATGTGACTGCAGAGCAAAGTGCTGCAGGTAACACCAACCACTGCAGATCTCTAGTCCCTGCCCTGACAATGTGCTGTCACATCACAGACGGCATCTGTTGTTTTCACCTCGCAGGGCAGAGGTGGATTTGGCAAATTCACCACCCAGACACCAGACAGGGCAAGGAACTGGAGCTTTCTGAGGGGCTCAAACAGCAAAGCATCAAACCCCTGCTCACGTTCCGGCCCAAACACACATCAGCACGTGTACCTGTGGATTTCTGGGATGCACAGTTATCTCCCTCTTTCCTGAGGAACCCCAGTGCCATTGTGTGACCTACACAGGCAGGCTACAAAAGGCTCCATTTAATGCTAAACACTGCAGCAGTGCCTTCTCATGTGCAGGTACAGAAGCCTTTTAATTTCAGTGAGTGGCTTCAAGGCAAAAACCCTAATGAAGACAACATAATTTACAATGTCAATAGCTATTAATGCTGTGAGGGCTACAGGACACACTGAGCTTTGATTTAATATCTCCCTCTTCGAGCATATTCTGCCTTCATAATAAGAACAAGGCCAAGGAGGAATAACCTCCAGCTGCTCCTGCAGATCAGGAGCCTAGTGCCAGACATTATTTTGATTGACATTTTCTGCTTTGAGAAAAATCAACACACAGTGCTATCAGAACACTGGTCATCAGACCCAAAGAATATCCAAAAAGATGTCAGATTAGATTCATAAAGCATTATCTACTATCATTTTGAGACTTGAGAGAGCATCTCTTGCTCCTTTGGGCTCCAGGGGAGCTCTGATCCCAGTTAGCTATCCTTTCCAAATTAAGCAGAAACTTGGCTGGTTGACTCTGTTCTTATGCAATATCTACTTTTGTCTGCTTACCCCCACCTCTGCAGCAGCCTCTTCTTCTCCACCAACATTTTTGAAGTGTAAATGGTGATAAAAGCATAAATAAAGTTTTCTTCCAGAGAGGGTGAGAGGAACTGGTAAGGAAAGTGCATGAAATGTGAGTGACTGAGAGCAATGGCAATTAGAAGGAACCAAAGGGCAGCTGGGTTGGAACTCTGGGAGGGCAGTGGCCTCAGCTGACACTTATTCAGAAGATTTGATAATCTGTTAACAAGGAATTTTAACCTCCAAGTGCAGACACACAGGTGTTGCTGACAAGAAACTCAAGCAACTAGAAGGAAAAAATACAGAGGGTAACTTTTTAGATGTGAATTCCTGTCAGCCTTTGGCACCTGATCATTAGTGCTGGTACTCAGTATAGAGCAAAAATATTTGGCAGTTTGAAAATCGTGCCCACACATAATTATTGTGCTGGCAGTCACTGTATTCAACAAGATCATGCAAAGAAGTGCATGGTAATTTCTGACAAAAAGAAAGGCAACTCCTCCAGCCACTTCTTTATGCTACTGTGAGAACACAGGAACATAAAGGTGATTGCTTTCTTTTCTGCCACTACCCTAAAATTAAGCCTTTCCCCACTGACACTCACTTGGCTTAACACCTCTGAGTTGATGAGCACATCAACCTCTTTCAGTTCCTCTTCAATCATCTCAGAGACAGCTGGAGCAAAACTGAAGTCAGGCAAACAGGCCACTGAGGAGCTGGCTGTAAAGAAATTACTATTTCCTTAGTAGAAGAGTCACAATATAAATTTCACATCAGACCTCTATATTTTTAAATATTTTCATTTTTCTTTCTTATTCCATGCAAAAAACCTCAGTCACTGTCTTCTACTGACACTTCATTTTGAGACAGAATGCAATTCACTCCCCTAAGTTACCAGAGAGGGAATCTCTTCAAGCTCCTGAATAGTGAACAAAACATGAGAAAAATCTATACTAGACTGCAGGACAAACTACCCAGTTGAGCTGAGTTGTCTTGGGACAGGTGAAGTCAGGGGGAAAAACTAAAAGAGAAAAAAATGCAAGAAAAGAAAAAGAACTTCAGTTACAGCAGAAATAATGCAGTTTTAATGGACCATGGAATATCAGATACCCAGCAAGAAGATGACCTTTTCTCCAGTGCTGAAATAACAAAGCCACAGAACACAAACAGTGATAAACCAACTTCAACTTTACAAAATCAATTTATGTGAGAATAAAAGAACAAAAGACATGACCTTTTCTTTGCTATTAAATAAACTAAATCCATTCTACTGAAGTCTTCTTTTTGAACAAAAGTTATTGCCTGACCTTTCTTATTCCAGTGCAGGATGCCAAGTGATTGGGCAAAGCATTTTAAGCTCTTTTGTTCTTCCTAAATCAGAGGTTTGTGCCACCACAGAGGGGAAAACAGTGCAGATCCTTCCTAACCCCAGCACAGGAGCTTCTGTAGGTACCACCAGAGACCTGTAACATGACCCAAAGACGTGGGGCAAAGACCACACAGGCTGGTGCTGGAATAGGACTGGGTATCCAAACCAGCCCTGTATCTCCACAGGATCCTCCAACACACAGGTATCAGTTCTTGACCTGCACAGTGAAGGCTATTAAAGGTGATCTGTGTTAATGGAACATTATTACATCAACACTGAGATTTTATACCTAACACTGATACAATTTTGTATGATATTCTCAAAGAATCAGAGGCACAAAATGCATTTCCTGAAATTATCCCTTTCTGTGATATTACCACGAGATGAGTTCTTAGTAATTTATTGGATTCTCTACACTAACTGTTCTATAAACAGTACAAAATAAAAATATAACGTAAATGAATGATAATTACATAATATAATGTCAGTCTAAACATAATTTTACCTGTAGTTTTTCTCTTGTGGGGTCAGTGTCCAAATAATGTTCAACAGGCGGATGTTGCTGACTGGGATAACTGCAAAATAGGTTTATTCACTGAAAATAGAAACATCATTATTTCCAATCCTTCTAATCCCAAGATCCATCTGTGAGCAAGATATTTTATCTGATGTACAAAAAACATATGCATGTGCATTTGCATACATGGAAATGTGTAAAAATACACACATTAATTCCCAAGGCTGCTCTGTTAAACACTGTCAGTAAGGTGCTGCTCATGCACCATCCTGTGGTTTAACAGGACAGACTCACAGTCACAGGAATCCTGACTGACTGGAAATCAAGAATCATTTTCTGAGACAGACAAATCACTTTATTATGAGAAAAAACTCCTGGCTTCTGAAAGGGGATTAGTGTATTACAGGCAGTATCATCATTTTCATCTTTGCTCGGGTTTCCATCCTCCAGTTTTCTCTTTTTTATCATTGAAAAACTGCCAGTGAGATGAACATGGAACACAACTAATCTGATGGCTCCTGGGGGCAGGAGAGCAGTTGTGCTCAGCTAAACAGAATTTTGAAAAAGTTGACCAAGAAATCTTTGAGATCAGGGAAGAAGGACAGGAGAACATCAGGACTGAGAATTGTATCTCCTGGGTGTGAAATATTAGTGCTCAAAACTCAGAATCTGAGATCATATGTCTGCATGTAGTATAGAAGGGACAATCTTTTGCCAAAAACCATAGAGAAGGTGGAGATAAAAAGTGCTGGTATCTTCAGAGCTGAAGAACAAAGAGCATTAGTGACCATGAGGATCTATGACACTGCTAAGCCAGGGCCTGCCCATCTATTGCTCCCAAGAGCTCTGAGACCCCTGAATAAAAGCCCCAGGGTCCTGTGAAAAAGTACATTTACTGATACATGCAATCTTCTTCTGGATAAAGAAGGGTTGCCATGGCAACCCTGAATGAATTCAGCACATCACCTGCACACAAAGTCTATCTGCAAGGGCTCTCTGGAAAGTTGGGGGTTTGTCTGCTTCTACTTAGGGGTCCCTGGAAATTGTACCAAGGTCCTCCAAGGAAGGATTGCACAGGAAATGGATGGAACTTCTGCAACCACCAGATCAAAGGCTGCTCAGAGGTACAATTATCTGTGTAAAAGGAGAGCACTGTATTTTTCTTGACAAAGATTTTCAAATAGCAGTAAAGACTGGAGAGTCTTATGTGTGCAGGGGACAAATAAGGCCTGGAAGCTTTCTGTGACAAGACAAACATGCCAGGGTTGTTAATCTTTTTGCTAATGAAGCCTCATGTTTGGATTTCCTGACCTGCTACATCAGTTTCCTTCTTTACAGAATAAGGGAAAAGCAAAGAACCAAAAATTGGAATCAAATACAATGGAAGAACAAGTTGTTTAGAAGCAACGACAAGTAGGGGCAAAAACGAACTGCAAAACCAACTAAAACATATGGAGAAATGCAGGTAGAAACTGTAGAAATAGATAAAATTCAATTCAGCTTCTTGTCAAAGTGTAGCAGAGAACATGAGATAAAATCCAGAAGTTTCTGTTCTATATGCACTGCCCCTGGTCTCTCAACTCTGTAAAGTTTGTGAAACGCTGGTGTGCCAAAGGGCCTTGTGAGATGACCAAAACTTCAGTTTGGTAAAACATTTCAAATACAAGAAAAAAATTAGCACAGTGTTTACTGCAGCTAAAGCAAGGCCACATGGGAGCAAAGAGAAGTTTCTTTGCAGCCTTTGTCTGAAGTATCACCTTGAGCAGCTCCCCACAACAAGGATGCCCTTTGAAGTGCCATGGCCCAGGACTGGGGCATTCCAACCAAGGAGGTAAAATGTTCAACACTCCTTTGGATATTTCCACAAACATCCAGCCCTTTTGTGGATATAACCCACCCCTGAAGGAAGGGGCTGAAGGTTAAATAAATACCTGTGTTTGCTTCCTGCCACCTGGGGAACCTTCAAACAGAGGCTGGCAGTTTTGTTTAAACAAAATCAGCTTTCACAGAAATACATGACCAGAATGCAGCACTTGGTCAAAGAGCCTGAAACCTGCAGTGACATAAAATACCTCTCTCTTATGTAATACCAACATTTTGGGGAACAAAATGTTGGTATTAGAGGACAATTCACAAAGGCTAATTCCATTCAAAATGTGCAGATTCTTTCTCAGAAGCAACCACTGTGGACAAGCTTCCCCATGACAGCCCTTGTAACTACGTCTGTAAAATTTTGAAGTGAGAATTAAAGCACTTCTGCAAATACTGTTGTGTAAATTGAAGCCACAGTTCTATAATGAAAAAACACAACTATTTAAATAATATATATTTTCTTAAATTATTTGTAGAAATAATTCTACATTCATCTGTACTGGACTAGTTACTCTTCCAGGCTGCTCTGCACCCCAACTTCCAGCCCTGCCAAACCCAACAGATTCACATGGGGGCTGACTTTCCAAATGAGAAAGTCAATTACATTATAAACTTGCATTTGGCACAAAAACCATCTACAGAAAAAGCAGAGAATCCAAATCAATCAAACCCCAAAAGCTTCATTAAAATACACAGAAAGATTCACATGAGGGAGCTGCTCTTGTCTGAGGGCAGGGGGATGAACCTGGCAACTGTGACAGACCCTTCCAGGCCTGTTTTCTATTGACTTCCATTAATCTTTCTCCTTTTCAGGCACTCCTTTACACATCCGAGCCTATGTCAGGCTCAGGGTTTTTTCTTCTAATACACATGTCCATACACCCCACTTTTGTTTGCTCAGCCACCACCAGGGAGTTTTGTCTTGTGAGCAGTGAAGGTCTTTCAGTCACAGAGCAGCCCCAGCAGCCCAGCACTGCAGGGAAAACCTCACCTCAGAGAGCAACAGGGTCATTCACTTGGCACCAGAACAGCCAGTGGTCCCTTACAGACCTCTGCTTTAACCAAGTAGATAGAACTTATCCACATCACAATTTTAAGATACAAATCAGGCTGTTTTTTCTAAGCAGTGTTTTACAAAGCACAGCTCAGTGTTAGCACAGAGACCCACAGTCAGTTCGTCTCCAGCAGACACAACAGGCTGCTGACTCAGCTGTATTTTGATACTAATTATCTTTCACACAATGCAGAGGCACAGGAATTAACATTCTTCAAAACTAGAATAGGATTCTCTTCCCAGCAGCTAAAGAAGTAACACAGGCATAACAAGGATCTATGTGCAAAGTCAAGGTCCACACCATGAGAACATCAAATGCTACTGAACACATTTTAAAGAAACATTTTATGGATGTATTAACTTTCAAAGATTACTTAGTCAGTGAAAGTAGTTTCTTTGATAAGGGAGTCACTAAGAATTAAAGCCTCTGTCGATACAATGGGAAAGAATTGCATAAAATTGTGTATGTTTAGAACATGGTCTCACCAGTTACAGACATGGAAAAATATCAGAAAACAACCTGAATTATTTGGCATCTCTGAAACAATTTCTGTCACCCAGCTCTCCGAAGTGCCCAATGTCTCTAGTGAGGAGATAAAAATAGCAGGAATGCAACTATTTCAACAAACAATCAAAAATCCTAGAATGTTAAAACTAAGTTAAACTAGGCATCCAAAGTAGGTTGATTTATTTGAGCTATCTGTTCTTTTACTGACATGAGAAAAACCCCCAGACAAATAGAAATATTCAGAGCATGTTTATCCAATTTCTCCCATTTCTCCAAGTCCCAGAGATACCTGCTCCCTGCGGGTCAGAAGTGAGAATCATGGAGATTTTGCTCTTAAAAAAGCAACCCAATGCCCTTATAAACCAGTATCAGTTCAAGATACTACATGCACACTGTTATATTACAGTGTAAAATAATGCTAAAAATGTGTATTAATAGAGACATTTTCTTCAGAGACAGAACAACCACTGTTTGCACATGCTTTGAGGTGGAATGAAAGGAACCACAATGTACACATTCCTCTTTCACAAACACATCCTTAAGCCAATGCACTCAAGCATAGTATGTTTTTGATTGTGAGTGTGTCAAGATAACCCAAACGCCCCTGCCAGCAACACTCCATCCACTATATCACCATCAAACATGACATTTATTTTAAAAATATGAAAAACCCTAATAAACACACAGCAAAAAGCATTTTTATCTCACCCATAATATGCATTTATCATAAAATGTATTAGTATACAGAAGTCAGACAGTTGACACCTCCAGGAGGAATTAAAATGCAGGTTCTTGGGATAACTCATATTCCAGTTTGCTCTTCCTTCCAACATAGTAATTTAAACAAAAATACATTAAGTACCAATATTCCTGAAAAGACTTATAAACAATTTAGACAATTGTTTAGTAGAGTCATTCTCTCACAAAAAAAAAACCCAAACAAACCTTTGAACCTTAAGACAAACCAGACAGTACTTGGTATTATCTTTAGACTGGACAACCAAGTTCACACAATAAGCAGGATAAACCATCTAAATGAAAAACCACCATTGTAAAACCCATTTCCAGTTCTACCACAATACAAAATGCCCTCCCCCATTCTGTGTCCTCAGTGAAAAGTGTCCCATCTGCTGATCAGCACAAGAGACACCCTATGTCTGAATTTTTCTTTCAGAAGGGAATATTATACAGAAGGGCCTGTCTCTGGCCATCTCCTTCCAGCAGTTCCAAAGAGCAAAGGGGCAGGTGTTACCCCCAGCCCTCAAACTTCAGGCCACTGGTGATGAGGGACCTCAACAAACCAGTCCAAGCGAGGCACCAAACTGCCTCAGGAGACAGAAATGTGGGCATTGTAGTTATTTTCATTCTGATTAAAGGCATACACACACAGTGGTTGCTCTGTCTCTGAAGAAAATCTCTCCATAAATACACATTTTAGCTTTATTATACATAGGATGGAAGGATTGTAACATAACAACCTGGGTATCGAACTCTTGCAGTGACACTGCATGCCAACATCTGGGCTCATAACAAAGGGAGAGCTGCACGTCGTGTCTTTCATTACTATGTATAAATATTATAAGGAAGCCCTTATTAGCAGCAAGTGAATAATTTTCATTTTTTTGCCTAGAAAAGGCCACAGGTTTTAGGGCAGAGGATGCACCTTGTCCTGCACCGACCGAGCTCTGCAACAGGTCAATCCCAGTGTGGATGTGTCCAGTTCCGTCCCAGCGATGGCACCCAGGCCACGGCCACCACCGCTGCGGTATTTTTCTGTCAATCACCGCAAATACCACAACGACAGAACAGCTCTGCTCCAGCCGCCCGGGCTGGGTGCCCCTCAGGGAGACCCCCAAGGCGAGGGCCCGAGCCTCCCCTGGGGCCGGCGGGGGTGCGAAGACCCCTCACCTGCACCGTTTCGTGTCGCTGGGGGGTCGGGCGGTGGGATCTGGCTGCTTCCCGGCTGGATCCGGGCTCTGTCCCGGCTGGATTCGGACTGAGGGGGCGGGGCCGCTCCCGCCCCTCACGGCCCCGCCGCCCGCCAGGGGGCGCGCGCGCCCGCCTCCCAGCCCCGCCGTGACGTAAGCGGCGCGCGCCGCCGCGGTGCATGCCGGGCCGGCGGCGGGAACATGGCGAGCGACTTCTACCTGCGGTACTACGTGGGGCACAAGGGGAAGTTCGGGCACGAGTTCCTCGAGTTCGAGTTCCGCCCCGACGGTGAGAGCGGGCAGGGGCCGGGGGGCACCGGGAGGGACGGCTCTGCGCTCCCCGAGGGCTCGGGGCCGGGCCGCCCCGGCGGGGTTTAACGCGCGGCCTCTCCCCGCAGGGAAGCTGCGCTACGCCAACAACAGCAACTACAAGAACGATGTGATGATCCGCAAGGAGGTAAGTGAGGGGGGCGGCGGCGCGGGGCTCGGTTTCCCTGCTGGAATGGTGTGTGCAGGGGTTGTAGTTCCATGTTGGGATGTTGTGTCCAGGCTTACGTGCACAAGAGCGTGATGGAGGAGCTGAAGAGAATCATCGACGACAGTGAAATCACGAAGGAAGATGATGCTCTGTGGCCGCCTCCGGACAGGGTGGGCCGGCAGGTGGGTGCATCTAATCGATGCTTTAATTTCCGTGGGTAGCTCCTTGGAAGCATAACAGAACTTTTCCCTCGAGGCTGTGTTGATTCCAGCCAAAAGGGAAACAATACTACCTTAAAACCTGAGCAGTGACTCAATGGCAGCTTTGCTGTGGGAGTTAATATGATTCACAGACCTGCTGCACTCAATGTCTCTGTAATAGAAATTTGTAAAAAAAAAAAAAAGTTATCACAGTACTTAAGTATTTCGGTAACTTGTACCACAAAGCTGTAGAGTTCCCATAACCTTTTATTTTTCAGGAGCTTGAGATAGTAATTGGTGACGAGCACATCTCCTTTACCACGTCAAAAATCGGTTCACTCATTGACGTAAATCAGTCCAAGTACGTACCCTGCTTTTTTAAGTTGCTGTTGTTTTTATTTACCAGTCACTGGGTATCTGTATTTTACATTGTTTCAAGGTACAGATCAGTTCCTGGGGACACTGCTCTGTGTTGCAGTGTAATGTACCAGCTGCCTTTAGACTGTGGCATTACACATATTTTCAAATACCTTGCTATAGGAACCCTGTCAGATGTGTTCATAGGCCAAACTGACCTGCTATTCACCTGTCTGCATCACTGTCTTTGGGAGAACCGAGATTTCTGTATTTCACCAAAGCTGAAAAGATTGGCTGTCATGGTTGGTTGGGTTTTTTTTAATCCTTAGTGCTGTTGCTACTTGGCTTTCATGAAAAAAAATGCACATTTTGTCAAGGCTTAAAATATGCAAACCTGGAATGCAAAATGTTTTATCAGTCAATGTAGAATGAAAAAAAATCTGTTCATGTCTAAAGTGACTTCCAAAAAGTTTCCTTACAGGCTTTGGGTTTTTTAAAATAGGTTAGTTCTATAAACTCTTCTAAAAGAGCATCAGTCTTAAACTTCTTTTGTTTTCTTTCCTTCTCTTGTGCACTGCAGAGATCCAGAAGGTTTGAGAGTATTCTACTACCTGGTCCAGGACCTTAAATGTCTCGTCTTCAGCCTTATTGGACTGCACTTCAAGATTAAGCCAATTTAAATCAGACAAATTGAAGTTTGTATTACAGTCTGTATGGGGGAATGGGAGGGGGGGAGTATGCTGTTCCAGCTCGTCAGGGTTTCTGGCCTGGAGCTTTTATGTATTTCAGATTTTTTGTTGTTGTTGTTAAAAACTGTCAGTGAGTGTCCTTATTAAAAGGATGAGATTTCTTTTTAATTTTTGAGTTGTGAGAGACTGAATTCCTAATACTTCTTTCAGCATGATACACTCAGGGTATGTGACATCACTTGTATCACGCACATCCTATATTTCTCTGTCTACACAGCAGTAGGAAATGGAATTAAGCCTGGCTCTGTGAAACGAAACTTCAGCCAGCTGTCAGGATAAACCTATGTTACTGTCCTGAGCTGGCTATTCTGTTGGCCAGCCCAAAAGTGCAAACCAGCTGACTGCACATGGTACCTGGTGGTAGCAGACATGCATCACCTTCCTCATGTCCTCATGTCCTGTGCTCACCCGTTTGCCCCCAGCGCACAGGTGGACAACAGGCCCCCAGGAGCCACCCAGGATCTGCACTGACGCTCCCACCCAGCTTTGGAAAAGCTTGAAGAGCAACGTAGAATGTATTTAGTTAAGTTCTAGTCTAGCAGATCTGCTGTGCAGCATTAATTAAAAGACTTTGAGGGGTCTGAGACTCCCTGAGGGGTCTGAGACTCCCTGTGGGCTCTGAGGTTGTTCCCCACAGCAGCGCTGCCAAACTGTGCCCTTGCTTTCTCTGGCACATCTACATTTCTTAAGTCAGTAGCCACTGCGATTAAAAAACAATTGTGGTTAAATGGCTTTTTAAAGATGAAAATCCCCATTGCCGGTGCCGGCCCCTCCCGCGTTCCCGCCCCTCGCCGGGGCGGTGACGGGCGCCATCTTGGCTGAGGGCAAGCGCGGCTTCGCGTCGGCTTCAGCCCGGCAGGGAGCGCCGGGCGCGGCCGCCATCTTGGCTGAGGGCACGGCCTCGCCGGGGCAGAGGGAGAAGAGAATTCCACAAAAATTCCACGGAGGAGCGGCCGGAGACCCGCGCGGCCATGGGGGTAGGTGGGACCGCGGCCGGGCCGGGCCGGGCCGATGTGATCCGGGCTGACGCCGCTCCCGCCGCTCCTTGCCTTGCAGAGGATCGGGCTGCAGCTCCGCGCCACGCTGGAGAACATCACCCGGCTGCGGGCCGAGGGCGAGGACTTCCGATGGTACCTCAAGGTGCGGCGGGGCCGGGGCCGCCGGGGGTGTCACATCCCGCGTTAGTGACAGCTCTCAGCTCTCTGACTTCTGTTTTCCAGCTGAAATGTGCGAATTGCGGCGAAGTCTCTGAGAAGTGGCAGTACCTCCGGCTGATGGTGCGTGTCCCTCTGGTAACCTGCCTCTTACACACATATTAGCATCAGGAATGGGACAACTTGCACTTTAGACGAGTTTTTCAATTGCTATATGCAGTTAGAAACGCTGTCATATTCCATACTAAAAAAAAAAATTTGGATACTGTTAATTAAAATATGCCATTGGAATGGTGACTGTTAGTGAGCAAGTATTTACATCTGCTCTAAAAAAACCAACTTTCTGTAAAAATAAAATTTGAAAACAAATTTTGAAGTGGTATCAGAATAAGGTTGTGCCTGTAAATATTTCTCTGATGCTGATGGAATATTTCTGGAGAAATTTAGGTAATTCAAGGTGAGTTAAGCGTGCTAAATTAGCACTTGGAAACTGAAAAAGCAGGATGAAAGATAAAGGATAAGAGAAGGTTCCATTCTTCAGAATGATGATCCTTTTTTCTTGCATAATACTGTGTGGCAAGAATGTATTTTGAGGAATTAATAGAACATGCCTATGTGGACCAAGACATAACTATCCACTATTCCCTGTTTTAAGTCTAGAACAGAATTACTCTTTGATAATCGCAGCTTCTTGAATTACTAACCTCTTGTTTAAAAAAAAGCTGCCTTGTGGCAGTATTTTTAAGAAGTGAAAGACTGTTGTAAAAACTGCTTTACCTTTGCAGAGGTTTCCAGTGGCTCAGCTGAAGTGCAGTCACAAATGTCTCTGCTGTCCTGGTTTTTAGGACAGTGCTCCCCTGAAGGGCGGCCGAGGCAGCGCCACGATGGTGCAGAAGTGCAAGCTGTGCTCCAGGGAGAACTCCATCGGTACGTGCTTACATGTTTAACAGGCACCATCCACTTGTCACTTTTTCTCCCAAGTTTATTTTTTAGTCCCCATTTTTGCTTGTAAAGAGCATTCACCAGGGATTTCTTCCCTTGCACACCAGTGCTCTAGTTCACAACAGGTGCACACTCGACCTCACGCTCATGAAGGAGACAGCAAGGCCTGGTGAGTCCAGGTTTCTGCATGAACAGAACTCATCTGCAATGTCATTTTACAAAGCATGCATATTTTTTTTTTGCATTGGTAAGGTAACAAAATGGTGCAGTGTAAACTTCTCAGGAGAAGGGAGAAAAAGTGAAGGCCTTCTACCTTCTGAAGGCCAGCTGCAGGAAATGCTTGGTGACTTTGTTTCTTTTACTTTGGATAAGGAAATTTCTTTGAAAGGAGAACCTGGTGCTTGGTTTGTGATGAATAAAACTGAAGACATAATGCAACTCACTTTTACACTTTTTTTTTGTTTTAGATATTTTAAGTCAGACAATCAAGCCTTACAATGTAAGTTTGTTTCCTCTTCTATATAAAAAGTGAGAGATAAATAAGCATTAATACTATTTTGAGTTTTTGCTTTATCATCCTCTTTCAAGAACACAAAAGAAGCTGGTATTGTTCCCTGACAGAAATTGTCTCTTGTAGACTCCTGCACAGAGTCTCAAGTGTAGAATAATCTGATACATTTCATAAGCCAACACAGAACTGTATCACTCAAATTAGAGGTGGTTAGGCCTGTATTAGCAAAGAAATTCTAGTTAATGACCACCTATTAAATGAGCCCTAGGCTTTTGCTGTCACTTGGGGCATCAGAGATGACAGTACTGCCTTTAAAGCAGTCCATTCCTAAACTAATGCTTGTCACTGTCTCTATTAGATGGAAACTAATGGAATTCTGGCTCAATTACAGGCTGAAGACAGTGAGAAATTCAAGACAATAGTAGAGTTTGAATGCCGAGGTCTGGAACCGGTTGACTTTCAACCACAGGTGAGTTCTTACTTGTGATTTGTTTCTCAGTTTTTAAAAACACTTCTTGCAGACTCTAGAATGATAAAATACACACTGTTTGAAATGGTTCTGGAACATCCTAGACCTCCCCAAATTCCCATTCTCCCCATGGGATTCCCATCCACTTTTCTTCTATTTCATTTGACTCCAAACAAACCCGAAACCCCGTGATCAGACAACACTAACAACTCTGGTATTCTTTGTGCCAGGAAGATCTAACACTAGGCACACCTTGGAGTCTTACTCCACCTGCCTTACAGGTGACTCAGCACTGCTCACCTGAACTCACCTGAGAGGTCTTCATTGCTCAGGTTATTGCAGAAGAGTCTTTCCTGAGAAGAATTGTGAGAGTGCAGCGTTAGACAGAGCACCACCGTGCTCCTTGCTATGTTACAGAGAGCACATGCAGTTCAGGTTATGAACACGATTCAGTGTATGCCCTCTAAAAACCAAACAAATTTCCTTTGGGATTTGACATCACCAAAGCCACAGGGAGTGAATATTGGCAGTTTTCCATGTGAAACTTAAGCAAAGGCTGAAGATCACCGGCACTTAGAGGCTGTTGCAAAGCACACCTCAAGGTTCAGAGTTAAAGGATTTCTTCAGGGCCACACCAGTCTGCAGTGACTCATCTGCTTGTGCACGGTCATGCCTGTTAACTCCCTGCTATATTTAACGTATTATTCCAGTCGGATTAGGTGTAAATAGACTGACAGATATAAACCTGTCTTATCCTTCCCTCAGACTGTGATGCTGGGCTAAGAAACAGCCCAAAGAAGCCAATCCTACAACGAATTTGATATAAATAGAATCCCCACTGCAGAGTGCTGCAGGAGGTCTTTATCTGTTTATTTAAGTGAAGCCCATCTTTCAGAGGAACAGAGTGGTTATTAGTTTATCCCTGTTTGAAAGCTATGCAGCCAGACCTAGGAACTCACACCTCAAGAAAAATCTATGGGAAGACTACAAAATATAGATGTTTATAGCTTCATTAAAGCTTTTAATTTAATCTAAATTTGGTGTCTGCACTTGACTGGAGAGTATACTGAATTCTTGAAGAGGTATTTGAGTGAATTTTCTGATGCCTATAATCAGTAAATGAGAATTTTCTGATGCATGTATGACTTCTGCAGTTCCAAACAGTTCTGTAAAGTGCTTTATATTTGACATGATCCAAGCCAGCCTGGCTTCTCCACAGCCTTACATCTGGCTTTTGATTAGCCCCATGGCCATAGTATTACAGTATTTTCTCCCTATTCTTGGTAGACATAATACAAACACACCTGAAGTCAATTTAAAGTGGCTTAAGGCTTGCATGTCTTATTTAAATTGTAGTTATCTAAAAAAAGAAAGCAGAGAAAGTATCCTTTGATTCTCCGGATATACACCCTCCTTTTAGACCTAGTACAGAAGGGTGTAATTCCAGTCACGTGGCTCCTTGTTCCTTGGAGGGCTGGTGAGTGGCTCCAGGTGGCAAAAGCAGGGCTTCTTTTATTTTTCTAGTGTTTGTTCTGTACTGCAGCTCTGCAGTTTTGCCCCGTGATGCTGATCTTCCTCTCCCCCCCAGCAGTTCCCTTGAGATGGGCTTCCAACAGTTCTAGAAGGGCCACTGTGCCCTGCAGATCACTCTCCTCATGTTAGATCTGACCCACTCTGTGGTTTATTTAACTCCCAAGTGCTTAACCTTCCTTCAGATCCTGAAATATTTTAAAATCATGTGGCTTACTTTGCACATTCTTACACAGCTAAATGTCTCACTGGCATTAGTGGGATTTCTCTATCAAAAATGCAAGTGTAGATCCTTTGCAGAGAACCAGGAAGAAACATGGATTTTTAACCACTTATTAATAAAATTCTGTAGTTAGAAATGGCAATGTAAGAAACCTTCCTGTATGCTACAGAGTGGCTGGGATTTTTAAACATACAATTAAATTTTATGCTGAGTTACTTTCTTTAAATATGTTTCAATGATCATATTTATTATTTTCTTGGTACAACTTACTTTTAAAAACTTTCTGCAAATGTATTTGCAGGCAGGGTTTGCTGCTGAAGGTGCAGAATCTGGCACACCTTTCAATGACATAAACCTGTTGGAAAAGGTATGTTGTCTTAGTTTCATTAGTAAATCTAATTATTTAGCTTGCTTTCCCCAAGTCACTAGTGCAAAATACACACCCTGCTCTTTCCTGTAGCCACAGGAAAGTCATAGCTGGAGAGAGGAACTGCATCAACTATGAACAACCAGCATTACCAAGTGTCATTTTAGAAGTAGGTATTTGATAACTTAGCAGCTGGCAAAGGTAGAAATGCTACTTTTATTTAAGTCACTCAAGAATTCCAGAGAGCAGGAACCTGGAATATTAAATGGCTGGGGTCACGAGAGCGGTGAATTGATTTTTCTAGGAAGGTCCCTGCACATTTTCCTGTGCACAGAGGTATTAAAAAGTAATACAGACACTGTCCTTCAAAGCTCAGGACAATGACACCAGCATTTGCAAATCTTCCTTGGCTGTGAGCAGGAATGTCAAGGTCAAATCTGTTCCCTGGTATCCTACTTGGCAGGGATCTGCATATCTGCTTACCCACCTGACTAAGGTATTGTGAATGATAGATAATCCTTTCACCTGCCATGGCTGCTGTCTTGTCCACTACAGGCTGTGGACTGCATATGAAAAAACCTACAACATTATGTAAATAAAACCACTGAGACTGAAGGTCATTTAATTTCAGGTCGGTGCTTTTGCTTCTCTCACCTGTCAGAACTTAACTTGGTGACTGCACAGTGCTTTCCACAGAAGTCTAAGACCCAAATTTTGAGTAACATTTGGTTTCAGTTTGAATTCCAGTCTGTGTGCATTCTGTCCTCTGTGACTAACACTGTGAAATCTTATTTCCTGCAGGATTGGAACGACTATGATGAAAAAACAAAGGAATCTGTTGGGATCTATGAAGTTACCCACAAATTTGTAAAATGCTGAAGTTCACAGCCCTAATAAATCTTGACATGCTTATTGATGGAGGAGCTGTATCCATCAGATAAAAAAAGGAACTCCAAGGAAACTTTGTATCTGGCTGCACTTCAGAAATGGAAACCTAATTTCATAGAATCATTAAGGTTGGAAAAGACCTCCAAGATCACCAAGTCTGACCTTTGGCCAACATCACTAAGTTGTATTTACTGTCCCCAGCATTCTCTAATAAAATATTTTCCAGAGAGCACTTGGAGATGGCCTCAGTACAAACTGAAAATAGTACATACACCTGACTGAACTGTGCCATTTTCTTAATTTTTTTTTTAAAATATGTATGGTTGTGGTGAACTGCAGCTTAACTACTGTACACAGTGACTGCTCAGACAACTTACAGCCCTAAAGTTTATCATGAAGAAATGGCTGTGAGGATTAGTAAGGTTTGTGTTAACTGTTCCAGGGAACAGCTACACCTTTAGTAGCTTTCTGCCACTTCAAGTAAAGACACTGAGCTGAGTGTACTGAGAACACTTACCAAGCTTGACTGCTGTTGACATTTACAGTTACAATCTTCTGAAAATCAAGTTATCTTTCCAAGTGTGTCATTAAATAAACATCACTTTTAGTTGAAGACAGACATTGTGCTCCTTGGTGGATGCCAGCTGTTCTCATGTTTAAAAACAAACAAAAAAACCAACCCACCAAAAAAAAACCATGAAGGAAAAAAAAAAAAAAAAAACAACAACCCACTTTTTAAGTGAACTTTATTCAGACTTTTGGTCTGATTATTGTTTCCTGATACATTATTTCCTTCATCTTCCCAAATGATCACCTTCCTTTCTTTGTTTAAATGAGCAAGAACAATCATGCTAAGTTTTAAAGGGAGTTTTAAAATAAGGCTTTTCAGGTGAAAACTAGAACAGCGAATTACAAGGTGCAAACAGCCCTGACTAGGAAAAGTTCATAAGCCTTCAGGTTTACCCATTAAAAGCATGCCTCTCCCCTTCCAGCACTTGCAGTTCATACTTCCAAGATATGGTATCGCTTACATTCACTGTGATAAAGAAAAAAAGACACTGGGAGAGCCTGGAAGCTGAGAAATCCAAAGGAAAAGAAAGGGCAAGAAGGTTTCTGAGCCTCTGAACCTGATCTGTCACATCAGATGTGCTCAGACCTCTCTGTTCTGCTAATAGATTTGGTTGTCCAGGACAGGGGGCTGTGCTGAAAGACAGGAGCTGCATTAGTCTTACACAGATCACAAAAGCAAGTTCTACTCAGCTCTAGAGAAGACTCATCCTTCCAGAAGAAAAAGAGTGGAAGTCAAGAGGGTTTAAAAGGCAGGAAGTTCAAGTTACACATACCATGTCAGTGCAGAATGCTTTCAGCAGTATTCTTTCCAACTTTTATAAGAATCATGAGCTATGGATAAAGGCACTACCCATGCTGCATGAATTAGATGTGGCAATAAAAGAACTTTCTGGTTATTAGTAGACAGCTTTATTAAAATAGTCTTTTCCAATCAGTTTAACAATCCATTTGATGATTGCATATCACTTAAGGCCTCCCACTTCTTTTTTTTGTTTCTCTGGAAGTTAAGAGTGGAAAGCCTTCAACAGCTGAGGCACCATCAGTTCTGATATAAATTCAAGTTTAAAGAGAAAAGTAAGTGTGAGCAGTTAGTAAGAAGATTACTGCAAATGGAACTACTCTTTCATGTTTAAAATTATTGCATGTATTTTTTTTTTTTAAATCTAAGCAGTTTAAGAGTAGTATCACAGTATTGATTTGAGTGTCTGAACACTCATGGAACACAGTTCCAAGTTCATAAACTTTTTATTTTAGATGATGTGTTTTAAGAACACATGGATCAGTTGGAACAGATGGATGTGTTACTTAATTTTACACTGTGAGTGCTTGTATTTCCTGAAGCATCCACTCAAGGTCTGTAATTGACTTCTTTAAAATAGATACAAATTTCATAATGAATCTAACAGTATTCAAGTTCAGTGAAGATACATGAAGCCAATTAAGCTGGGCAGTCTCAGCCATGCTGAACACTGATTAGTATGTCAGTTAGACATAGTCTGCATTTTGTACTGCAATCGTAAAGTCTTCTAATGTCTTTATGTCTAAGTATCAATCTTCTTGCCCTTTAAAACATTAAAGATATCTTCTAGTGACTTGTATATACACCGAAGGAATTCTTCACCATTCCTGGTTGGGTAAGAGGAAACATTACAACCTATCCAGTCGTCATGTACCTGATATCCTAATCCAAAGCCATCGGACACCACGGGGCCAAACCCTCCCAGCTGCACAGCTGGGCTGACCAACGTGCTTGTGGAAATGATGTTGTGATTGAGCCGAGCATAGGCCTGGTCTTGATAGAAATCAGGCAGAGCAAGGCCTTTGGATAAGGCCAAGTAGCGCAGGCCGAAGAGATGGCGGTCAAATCCCTGCCCTGTTCAAATCAAATAACATGCATTAGAGAGATGGGTCATTTCTGTGGGAAGCAAACTCATTTATTTTGACATCACATTGTTTTTCAGCCACAAAACAGGTCTGTAGAAGTGAGGTTCATTTTTGTATTAGCGGGAATTATTTTTCAGAAGCCAGACACTCTGCCCTTCTCATGCACACATCCCAGGGGAACAGGGGCTGTTTTACTGCAAGAATCAACCAGCATTATGAGAGTACACTAAAGTGCAATGTTAACAGACAATTTTAATAATACATCACATTCTTTGATTAACTGTTTATCCGAACATATCCAAGTTGTTTAAAGCAGAAAAAAAGCTTTCCTAAAACTTATTAATCTAAAGAGGAAGAGGATCTTGCATCAACAGAAAGAGGCAAATTTTAGACTCTATGGGGTAATGTTCAACAGTCTATTTTACTGAAATAATAAACCAAGTTATGCTTCTGGGAAGGACAATTAAAAAAAAAAAAAAATTTTTGAAAAATGCCAGGAGTAGACTAGCCCAAAAATATCAGTTTGATTTGGAAGTTGTTACAGCCTTTATCCCCTGCACGGATACAGACTTAAAGCCAAAGTTCTTGGTTGCCCTGGGGAGTACAACGTGCACTAAGTATTTATCAAATCTTCTAATACCCCAGCTGCCTTGAGGACAAAAAAAAGTATAAAAAATTCTCAACACATTAACAGTGATGTGGAAATCACAGAGGCATTCCTCTCCATCAAGAAACGAGTGTTACAGAAGGCACTTTAAACTGCAGCCTTTGGCTACTGTTTTTGTCAAGTTTACATTAGCATCAGACCGCCATCAAAATTAAATTATTTGGTTGTAAATTAAATATTTACAGACCTTTTCATGCAAAAGCAGAAGTGTACGATCTGTTCCTACTCACCCATAGCAGCTTCTCTTGTCAAGCGGCCGTGGTACTTGGAGCACTCCACTATCAACTTCTGCAGCTCTTCTGTGCTGTGTTTGGACAGTTCCTTGACAAAAGCCTCTGAGCATTTCTTGGTGTGGACAGAGGCAGGACGGATCGTTTCTGTACGGCCGTGTTTGAAAGCTGCAGTGCTGCAAGACTCGTACGTAGCGACAGTCTGGTTGTACTGGCGAAGGAAAGCCATCTGGAAGGCCAGCTGAGCCACAGCATCTGGGCTCACCTTCTTCTGCTTTAGAAGCTCCTTGCCCCCTTTTTGGAACTGAATCATGTTAATAGACAGTGATTCTACAGTGGTATCGAATTTCTGTTTGGCTTTGGTAATCCCTGCTTTTAAGGCATCATTCAGCTTAAAGTCAAGCTTTTGCACTGCTTTAGAGGAGTCTACTGAGGCAGGTTGGGACTGGGGGCTGATGGCTGGTGAGTTGGTGCTGTCTTTAAAAACCTCATTCTGGAACCTGAGCACAGCCACACCATCTCCCCAGGAATGTTCAAAGTTGATTCCTGCAGTGCCATCCTTGGTTATGATGAGGTTAAAGGATTTGTCATACCAGCGGTTAGCACCATCCCCATGCAACATAGTGTGGGACAAGTGCACAAAGTCTTTAATGGGAAAATCATCTAAACTTAAACAAAACACAGCAGAGTCTACTTTTTGAAGAGCTTCTTCATTGCCATTATCCAGTAGGTTCTTTCTCAGCGATGCCCACGTGTCTCGGTTTTCACTGGAGAGGTAGCCAAGAGGGAAGGCTGGGGCTGGACTGTTGTCACTAAGGATGTATTTCAAGTGTGCTTGTATCTCTGAGGGTTTCAGCATGTTCCCATCTCTATCAATAACATCAAACACATAAAAATTTCCATTTCTCAGTACTAGTAAATGCTTTGCCTTTTCGTCTGTATAAAGCTCATCTTTCTCGAGCTTAGGCACCCGTGTGGAATTGAAAAGCCTGAAGTACTGAGACATATCCAGGGGGTAAGCATTGACCATGTAGGCACCAAACCAGGACACCGAAGAAGGCACAAATCGGATAATTTTTTTAAAGAGCTCAGTGTCACTTTTTTCTGGATTGAGGTGAAAAACCTCTGGTTCCAGATAACCAGCCCTGAAGGTCTTCATAAAACGTATGGCAGAAACAGTCATGTTCGTAGCTCGTGTGAGCTGATCGTTGTATTCCGGTTTGGGATCAGGATTAAAAGACATAAATGCATTAAAATTCAAAACAACAGGCTCACGTGCTTTTAGGTACATGTCAAACCAGGGACCTGAAAATTGAGAGTTGAGAAATAGGTCAGAACATAAAACCAGCTCACTGAGTCAGGCCAGAGGTTTGTGTAGTCCAACAGTGATCATGAATAAACACACACTGAAGTGCCTACAAACACAACAAACATATGCAGTAATTCACCCAACACCTCACACTGGGAGTGGTACATCCCTTTACCTACTCTTAAACTACTAATTTCTGCAACTCTCTGTCACTGAGGCTGAACCTTCTAGCTGGGCTGTAAGAAGGGCAATGGGTAGCTCAAGGACCTAAGTTACAATTTTAATTACAGTTTCTCACAGGTGAGTAACTAGAATTCATCTACAGTTTGAAAACCACATCTGCCATCATCACGCAGCCTTTTAACCCTGGACTTGAAAGTCTAAGGTGGAGGCAAATATACATACTTTCAGAAACCAATTTGAAGTAGAACAGGTCTTTTATGAGGCCTAAAGAAGAATAATAACTAAACAAAAAGTAATACAGACACCCCACAGCTCACGGACAAAAAGCACTGATGAACAACATAAAGCCACCAGTTAAACCCCTAGATGCTGTTCAAAGGGAATGGAAA